TTCATGGGCGGAAACAAATCGTTTTGTTCCGGTATCTCATAGTTTTCTGGTATACTCCCAGCAAATATGTCCCTTATTTCTCTTGGCGAGTATACATATGATGACTCGAAACTGCTATTTGTGTTTTCGAACATAAAATCATTAATTGGGTTATGATTTTACCTATGGGTTCGTATGTTTGCCTCAGACAGCGATAAGGAATGCTTAATTTCAGCTGATTGCCTCTTAAGCTCAAACATAGTATTAGCGTCGTCCTTAAAATGCCACGTTCGTTGTGCAAGGTCCATTACTATGCCAGCTTGCTCAAGAAAATCGATGCCTAACAGCGTTCGATTGTTTTCAGCATTTGCCAAACAAATAAAACGTATACGTTTGAATCGCTTTCCAATTATAATACCGACGATAGTAGAGTAAACCATCTGCTGGCGAGCAATACCATAAGCTAATTTAATTTCCGCAAAAACCTTTTGAAATTCAACACCTTTTTCTTTAAGCTTCTCATAAAGTTTACTACTTGCAACGCTCGTTCTAGCAGCTGTATCTAGATATGCTTCACCTTTCAAGCCATTAATGTTTATATCAACAGTTGGTACATTTCGACCTATTACGGTGGTTTGTATAGTGTTAAAATCGAGTTTCTCGGGGCTACGTAACGGATTTTTCTGATTGCAGTTTGAACAATTCGACCTGTAGTACCCTGGTGTACCGCAACCATAACAGCTAAAAGCGGTTTCTTTCATTTTCTCTGTGGTTTTATTTTCGGATTCAATTTTCTTAAAACAGTTTTCCACGGAATAATTTTTCTTTCTATAGTAGGAACAACGAAGGGGAATTTTGCTGGTCGAGTTGCTGGCTAAGTCAACAGCTTTATAAACTTCTTTGTTCTCACCAAGTAGCAACTCAGCTTCGCGAGCTTTGTCTAACAGGTCGCAAATGTTTCTACACTACACTACAAAATACGCCAGTCGGGTTTCGGCGGAGAAAACACTTTGCGAAGCAAACCAATAAATATTTCCGCTTCCTCCTTCACACCTTGCCGCCATGACGAAGAGGTAAACTTAACAGCGCTCGTTCGTCCGATATGTTTTCCGCATCTTTGTATACTAAAATGGTCGCTGAGAAATCTTCATTTTTTCTGGTGTTCCTTCCACCATTAAAACGTACGCTACATTTACTAAAAGTAGCCCTAGTATCTTGGTTTACATGGAGGTTTCCTAGCAATTGCCTGAACTGATTTTCTGTTAGCATTACATTCGATGGATTATTAGTACGGCCGACGTTAGCATTAACATTGGCGTTCGTGTTAGCTTGCCTTTGGCTGTTCATAACATTGGAACTCGCAGGCGCATTTCCGGTGTGATTAGCGCTTTGCTTAGGCACATTAACAATTTGCCTTGCGCTTTCTATGTTAACATTCGCGTTGGCATTAGCAGCATTGGCATTGGGGTTAACATTACTTGCATCTGTTTCCATTTTCACTTCGATCAGTTCTGCGTTTAGCCTGGGACTTTTTCTTCTCATGAAACCAAATCAAAGCCTTAGTACCAAGTGAAACCGACCGATTTTAATTTTAACAGTGATGGTTTTTATCGATTCTAACAGAAGGGTGAACACTGTTATGAAATCCTAACAGGAAGTAGTTAAGCCTGAGGGTATGCAACGAAGATCTCGGTTGCGTACCGCAAGAATGTGAGTATGCCCAAAACAGTTTTAGAGCCTCTGCATGTGCTGTGAACAACAACAACAACAACCAAACGTAACCTGATTCGCCTTGGCAGTTCTTCGGCAACAAACCTCGTGAATTTGCCCAAGCAGTCTTAGAGCCTCTGCACGTTCTTTGAGCAACAACAGCAACAAATAAGTGCAGCTCTGATTCGCTTTTGAAGGAGGTATTTTAGCAACAACAACAAATAAGTGCAGCTCTGATGCGCTTTTGATGGCAGTTTTTCAGCAACAACAACAAACAAGTGCAGCTCTGATGTGCTTTTGATGGCAGTTTTTCAGCAACAACAACAACAGCAATGGTATGAATATTCGTATCCACAACACAGCAATACGACTCAACTGGACTTAAGAACCCGCTGATGTCCGCAGAAAACCAGATTTCCAGAATCGTTGCGATGGATTTGTTTTCCGCTTTTTACTGCAGTATATTAGGACAATGTTATCTGCTTTTGTCATTAGCCGCAAGAGCCAAAACTTGTCTTCAAGCATCTAAATGATTTTCGCAGCACATTGTTCGCAGATTAGGCTTCGAAATGCCGTTAGTGGCAATTTTTTCGAAAATTTTAATTAAAAAGTTCGCGATTTTAGTTGGGCGCCAGATTTAGAGAAGTAGTCTATCCCTAAGTTATTCGCACATTCGTGTTTAATAAAGCTAGCCACTGTCTACCAGTGTCTAAGCTTCACTAAGCACGATGACTGAATTTTAAAATAAAACGCAAGAGGTGTCCGAAGTAGATCATGCGTCTTTATTAGTCGCTGTACGAATGAAAAAATTTACATTGGAGTATGATCTTAAATAACTAAAATTGCAACGATGTGAAACAAAAAGGACAACAGTTAAAAACATTAGCAAAATTGAGTACAAATGTGGTGGATTTTGACATGATCAAAAGAAATTGAGTCTAATTCAATGTTAAGTAACATAAAGAAATAGTACAGCTTTAACCCAAGCTTTCAACAAAAGCTTTTAACAGAATCTTTTAACAAAAGATTTTAACATAATATTTTAACAGAAACAGGGTTAACATAACGAATAACATGTATAAAAGATAGTATAAGTATATAAGTGAGCATGATAATGAATATAGCATGCGTGCTTCCGGATACAGTCCTACATCCTAAAAATAAGAAATCTCAAAAAATTTAATAATATGAAATTCAAAATTTGGAACTTTCGTTGTTTTCTGAACCTGCAAAAATATTCAAACTTGCTGTGACTTTCAACTGTGTAAAACAATACAAATTCGAAAATATAACAAAAAAAGTAAAAATTGAAAATTAAGTACATAATTTCAAAATTTGGAAAATTCAGTGAATTCGAAAAACTGATAGGCCTACTTAAATAACATAATATTTCGTGCTTAACACACTGCTAAAATTTCAAACTCAAGTGAAATTTGACACACTTTTTCCATGAATAAAAATTTTCCAAAGCATCCATTCATTAGGTTTGTTCCCCAAGCTTCTCGAAGTAATTTCGAGTTACATATACGCGCTCCGCAAGTAAGTTTTCGAGTTTCTTTGATATACGCTCACAGTTTGAACTTTGATCGAATTTTTCTACAAGTAGCTTGTGGGACAAACCTGTTGTATATTCTTGTAATAATATTTCACGATATTCAATTGAATATTATGAAAATACATGTTACACAGTCTTGGGGAGGGGGGAGGGAAATTTCCCCACTTTCCCCTACCTCGGTCCGCCACTGGTTTTCTTACTGGATGTGATTAGAGGTTTACGCCGACAGGCTTTGCGGCGGCGCACAGTGCCGCGACTCCATACAAATGATGGACAAAAATAGAAGGAGTGGTCAGAATTGGCTGAAACTTCACACCTAGAAGTATTATGCCCCTCGGTTTTTCTGTACCGGTTACTCATTTTTCTTGCATTTTTATATGAAAATAGTCATTGTGGACATGTGTTGATATAAGTGGAAGGAGGCATCAGAATGGGCTGAAACTTTACACCTGAAAGGACTATATCACGGCAATTTAAGAAAAAAAAAAACGTTTTTCAGCATCTGTTACCATTTAATTAAAAAAAAATTTTTTTTTACAATTTTATAAAAATGTAAAATAACTCATAATCATCGTAGACATATGTTTATAAAAACCGAAATAGTATTCAGAACTTGTTGAAACTTTACACCTAAAAGGACTAAGCCATGCTTATTTCAAAAATGAAATCGATTTTTCGGTACCGGGTACCCATTAAAAAAAAAAAGATTTTTTTTACATTACTATATGAAAGACAAATAAGGCATAATCATTGCTGATTGTGGTGTTTACGAAAACAGGAAGGAGTCGTCAGAATTTATTAAAACTTTACATCTGAAGTGTCTATATTACTCTAATTTTAAGAAAGTAATCGGTTTTTTTGTAACGGGTACGCATTAAAAAAACACCGAGTTTTTGCACATGATTATTTAAAAATGAAATATGGCATATCATTGTTGCTAAGCGTTCAGAAAAATAGTCTTAATAGTCAAAATTCGTCTAAACTTTACTTCCTAAATGAATACATTATGGTAATTTGAAAAATTAAGTCGGTTTTCCTTACATGTTAACCTTTAGAAAAAAAAATTCTTTTGATTTCATTTAAAATAAAGCATAATCACTGTTAAGTAAGTAAGTAATAATAGCTGTTATATGGTAATAACATATAATATGTTAATAAAAACCGAACTAGTTGTTATAATCACTCAGTTTCAGAGTCCTCAGAAGATTCAAATGATTCCATGCTTTTGTCTGCTTCGTCACTTTCAACAATGTATTTATTAAAGCTGAGATCAGAACCCTTTAAATATTTGTTTCTCTGTTTTATATTTCTTTTAAATGCAACTAATGGATCTGACGATAATATCAAACGAGTCATTAAATCCGTATTGCTTTGTACTCTTCCAGTTTTTCGAGAAGCCGATATTTTCTTATGTTTTTGTGTGAACATTCTAAGGCTTCTTCTGATAATGAACCTGATAAAATAGGTGGAAATACAGATTAAGAAAATAAATGAAAACATAGCTTTAAAATCATTACCTATTGGTAAATCAAAGTATTTAATTACGTCACATCCATGTACTAAAACTTTATGCACTGAACTTGGCATGTTATACCAACCATAATTTCTAAGGTATAACTCTCTTGTTTCGTTCAACAAAACACTAAACTCTTGGGTTTTTATTTGTTTTCCACAAGAGAGGACTCTTAGCACCAGAGAAAAATTATGGATTAGAGACTTATCCAGACGAGTAATTTCTGCGGCAACGTCAATATTTTCAAAAAAAACGTCGAGCTGTGTTTCCATCATTTGTTGTTCCAAACCCTTGCTTGACTTGGTCAATTATCAAACCTGTTTTAATTTTGAACTCTTTTTGGATACGGGCTTTAGTTTCAATAAATTTAGCCTTATTTTCCATTCTGACTTGCCATGTCTTAAAAGGCAGACGGTAGGCTATGTGTAATAGACATTCAAAGAATCGAATCCAGCAATGGAGGGTTGATAACCCAAATTTATAATGATCTGGATTTGGTATTTTGTTTTGTTCAATATTATTCATTTCTGTTGGGCTTGCATGACATATGAAACATCTGCTTGAGGAATTGGTGTTTGTTAAAACATTAGCTACTGCACCGTCAATCATAGTGCAATCCATGATGTAGGAAACTTCAGCAATTCCCTTCTTATTTTTAAAAATATCACATTCCAAATCATTAATCATCTGAATTATTTTATTATATTCTGAATGAATTACCGCCTTTCCTTCTTTCGTATAAACGAATTTCACTGGTCTACAGAACAGCGTAGAAGAGGGAGTTCGGTTGACCCATATTTCATTACCTGATGAGGAATCGATGAGCCTTAAAATGGAAAAAATTTGGAAAATAGAGAATAGATACATAAGAAAATAATTGATTTTATACGAACTTAAGTGGTAACAAAGCAATTACGAAAATAAATTCATCTGAGAGGTCTTCCGCGGAGAATTTTTGCTTATATCGACTGTGGCCAGAACTGCCATCCATTCCCCATTTACATATAAGTGAAAGTTGGCCCACTGGGTGTTTGTCTGCACAAACTTCTAAGATGTGTTTGGATGTAATATGTACAAGAGCCTTTAAATTAACTTCTGCTCAAGTTTCCGTCGCTTCTATATGTGGTACTAAACTTTGTTTTAATTGGTTTAACGCATACGTGCTTGGGAAAAAAATCCGCATGTATATTGTTAGCAACTTTGCGTAGTCTATTATATTTTTCTTCCGATAAATCTAAATCTAAACACAAGGCCAGCGCTTCAAAGGGTTCAAGACACTTCTTTATAGTGTTATCAGGCTTCGTTTCATTTTTTGTTACTTTCCGTGCTGCATAAGTAATTTCTTCCGCACTATGTTCTTCAAGTATTTTACTAACCTTTCGCAATTTTGACTTTTCTGAAGCTACCGAAAACTCTACTTGCGGTCTGCCTCTTTTTCCCGTACTGGTGCTTGGTATCTGAAATTTATATTCAATTACAATCTTTCACACTACAAAGCATACCTTAAATACATTATCGGGATCTTCAATTTCAAAGACTACCCATTGGAGCCAAGAAGAGTTTAAATTAATAAATCGCTCTTTTATATAGACAGCTTCCTTCCACTTTCTGCTCATTTCAGCATTGAACTTATAAACTTTTTTTCTCACAGCATCTCTATCAAATTTAACATTAGTTAACTTTTCACAAACAAAAGAAAAAGTGATTGATATTCTTTCTTTAAGGGGTGTTTCTAACCATAAATCTACCAAATCACTATTTATAATTTTAATTGACATTTTTATTTATTTATTATAAAAGTTTTACGTTTCTGCTTTTGATACTTTATTTTGAAGTGAGATAAACAAGTGCTGATTTACCTGCTGCGCTCACTTGCTTTCACACGTATATACTTATGTGCATTAAGGTGGTTAAAGTTTATATGAAAAAATGTTATGTTCCCAAAACCGTTTGGCTTGTTCAGTATATTGTTACGCATACTTAATGCACTTTAAATTTCAAATTTAAGAAAAATCGGTTAATATTAAAGGGCGCCCATCGCTGTTTTATATTTTAAATATTTGTTTTTTTGTGTAAATGGGTAGAAAAAATATGTCAAATACAATTTATTCATTGCTCGCGTTGAGCAACATTTTCCACTAATAGTAAAACGTTCAAATTTTTGCACAGGTAATGTAATTAGTTAGGTGAACAAAATTATAAAAAGACTCAATCAAAAAAAAAAAAAAAATATAAAAAAATTGGACCTCCCTGATGTGCATACATTTGTACTATCATTTTCGCAAGCTGTTTTTGTTTGCTGCTTAAGCAAAATAGTACTCTTTATGCAGATGAAGAGTAATAGGTATGTTATTTATTTTTATTTTCTTTTTGTTCGCCTTTCGTCTAATCATTGGGCGCTGTAAGGTGTCTCGATTGCATTTATTTCCTTACCCGAATTGGTTAACATATTATTTGTAAACTGGTGTCATTGCTCTATATATATATGTAAATCTTCGTATACCTTTGTTTTTGGCTCCCATACCGTGGTGCATATTTAAGTACTTTAATTAGCTGATAATTTTTTTCATTTCAAAACACCCTGTACCTCTTAATTTTTTTTTTGCACTTTTAGCTTTAATTCAACACCTTATTTTTGAAAAGCGAACCAAAAATTTAGATCTTAGGGCATTCAGAAAAAGTATTGTAAATATAGATCAGCTAAAATAATACCAAAAAAAGGCATTTAGTCACTTTTTCAAAATTGAAAATTTTCAAATATTGGAAAAAGTTGGAAGAGATTTCGATTGTTTCTGTTAGAAGAAGGTCCAAACTACCATAACCAAAAAAAAAAATTCACGAACTTTCAAGATGTTTTTTTTTTGTCTCCAAAGTTTATCAATTTTCGGATTTTGGTATGTTTAATCATATATTTATTTATTAATAAAAAAAAAATATTTGTATAAATTTTTTTTCCATGAACCATACATTTTTTGGTTTGTCGCATATATCTTTATCAAAGTGCAAAAGTTGATCTTGCTAGGAATAAAAATGTATTTTTAACAAATTTTTAACTGCGACCACTTTTATGTGCGAATCGCCGAAATGAAATGGTATGTAGAAAATAGGTGTACTTTGAGGGGGTGTGTGAGGCTGAAAGTTGTTTTTATCACAAAATAACTTATAAACTTCTCTTAGTTGGAGATTTAGCTGTAACTTGACATCAAAACATCTAAGTTTCAAGACAGTTGATTTTGTATTTTTGTCCACCTTCGCGGCACTGTGCGGCGGCGGGATCAACTTCAAAAAGTCCGGAAACGCCGGCGCTACTGCCCATAAGGTAGATTCCAATGAGCCATGAGGCTTCTAATCTTATCATGTTATCAGATTATAATTCTATTTACTTCATTTATTGAATTCAAATGTTGAGTGAGTGCTGCTGATGGATGGGCGAACAGAAGAAAGTCTATATAGTATATACATTAGGTTTCCCATCGAAAGTGCTTTTTTTGAGAATTTAAAGACCCTACCCCCTAATTTGATTCGTTTTTATGAGAAATATTACTGCCTATTTTTATAGATTTTTTAAAGACCATTTAGAGGTCGATTAGGTCAGAAAATACGATTTTCTAGATTCATGAGTTTTTGAATGACTATTTTTGAATGAATTTCAAAGAATTTTTTAAATTTTGAACATCGATTTCCACAATTTGAAAATATGTAGTACTAACGTACAAAAAAAACAATTTTGCGATGGGCACCCTAATATACATACATCTCTATGTACTCTACAAATCCGTATGTACTATTTCAATTTAAAGAAAAAAAAAAAATTTAAAGGTTAAGTTATTGGGGTAATTTATGTCGCTATCAATAAATTTTTGCAATAAGCTTATCAACCGTTATGTTAAATTACGGAGATCTTACGATTTTTTGCGGGTTATATATTGAAAATAAGGTTGGCCTACTTTTTTCCAAAAGATTAACCCGGCAACTCCCACCAGAACGGGCCTTTTTGACCCACTGTTTGAAAAATGGCTTATAAATGGTTAAAATTTCCACTAATATATTAAGCGCCAAATTTTTCTAAGGAGATCAGAATGTAATGCAAAATAATAGTAATTTTTAACAAAAAGGTGGACTTTAACTCTGTGTAGAAAATATTGCTATGCGTAACGTAATTTTCACACAGCCACCTAGTTCTTGTGTACGTCTGAGGGACCCCAGAATAAAGTAACTGACGAATGTAAACATTAGCAAAAAATGTGTTTAAAAAACACATAGAAAAATCAACTAGTCTTTGTTTTATCTCCATTTCTGTTAAAACTGCTTTCTGAGATATTGGCATTAAAGTTTTTGATGTGTTATAACTTTCTTGTTGACGTAGTATATAAAAAAGTAGTATTGTTTTAGTATGGAAAAAATTGTCTACTGCGGAAAAAATCGTCAGATTACCAGTATTCGACCCTAATTTATGTATTTATTTATATATAGTATTAGTCAAATGAACAATAAATTCTTACTGACTACTGAACAATTTTACTTAAAGACTTGTTAAAGTAGCCTAGTAAGAGGCTACGGACTATTGCATGAGGTAGTGCCGGATCAAGATTTGGAACCTTTTTTAACTCTTGAGGGCTCTTGAGAGTGGAGCAAATTTAGCGTAATTATACTTAGAAAACTCCACGTAGAACAATTGAGAATGGCGTAGATTACTAAAAGGGGCATTGAACGCTATTTGTTCTAAAAGGGTTGAGCAGTCAACGGAGCTGTTCATAACATTTGCAACAAAAGATCAATCGAGAAAAGCAAACCTTTGATATAAGGGCTTTAAAGTCAAAAGCTGACAACAAGATTCGTAAGGTCGTATAGGTTCACTGAAATTCAGTGAGCGAAGAGCCGATTTGATGAAAACCTTTTGAATTCGCTCTATTCGGCTTATATGCGACATATGTTCTCCAAATAAAACAAGCATAGTCAAGTCTAGATCTTACTAGCGATGTATAAAGCAACTTCAATGTGTACAGGTCCGTAAACGCAGAGCTGTTGCGACGGACAAAAGCCAACATGGCATATGATTTCGAAACAATATAATTAATATGCGTTGAGAAGCTGAGTTTCGTATCGAAGTATACACCCAAGTCCTTTACTTCAGCAACATATTTGAGGGAGACCCTAGAGATATGATAGCACGTTGAGATAGGAAGTTGCTTTCTCGTATTTACATTCAAGTTAAAACGATAGTGAACGTACCAAGACACAAGATTATCGAGTTCCGACTGAAGAACAAAGGCGTCTTGCAAGTCTTTTATTATTGAGTAAATCTTAAGGTCGTCTGCATATGGCAGAAATTTAGAAGTTGCGAAACAAGAGCGGATGTCGTTTATAAATAATATAAATAACAAAGGTTCTAGGATGCTGCCCTGGGGCACGCCTGAAAATGCAACAAAAGATTGGGAGGAGACATTATCTAAGGTTACAACACAAAGTCTGTTACTCAGATAGGACTTAATGCATTCAAGCAAAGTTGAATGGAAACCTAAAGCCGAAAGTTTGGAAGCTAATACTCTATGTGAAACTCTGTCGAAGGCTTTCGAAAAATCTGTGTAAACACAATCTACTTGATTCCCTTCACGAAAGGCAGCGAAACAGTCGTCAGTAAAAACAGCAGGTTTGTTACTGTTGACTTACCTTTGACAAATCCGTGTTGGTTACAGCAGATAAGACCACTATTTAATTGCGAATGAGAGTTTGTCTTTAACAACAATCTCGAAAATTTTAGAGACCGTGAATAATTTCGAGATAGGTCTATAATTACATACGTCGTTTGGCTTTTATAAATTGGGGTATAAATTGGGGGGTAAAAACGCCAGATGTTAGGGACTTATTGAAAATAAGCGTTAGCGGCTCAATCAGGGAGGAGCACTTTTTGAAAATAATCGCCGGAAGTTCTTGCGCGTCCATTTGTTTGGAGAATTTTAGCGATTCGATGCCTCTACTAACGTTACAAAAAGCGAACC